AAAGAGATTATACCACCATAAATATATCTTTTTAATAACGGAAATTTATTAAAATATAATACGTATTAATTGTTATATATATATATATATATTTAATAATAAAATTATATGGGCATAAAGTAATAATATAACTTACTTAATAATAATATTGAATATTTTAGCGGAGACATTAGGTAATTTAATTTCAATAATGTTATTTTTTTTGGTCGTATTTGTTAACTTTTGTTGAAAGTATAATGAACGTTGATACAAAATCACTGAGTGCACTTTAAAAAGTTGGACATTTCGTCCTTCACCAACTTCAATTATTACATTATAATCATATTCACTTTCAAGAAGTTGGGTATAGTCTTGAGAAAGTTTGTCAAAAATCTTTACATTCATTTTGCTTTGATCGATTCTGAAGCAGATTATCAATATACACGTACGTACGTACTGACGTACTTGTAATAATATATATAGTTACACAAACATTATACGCTAAACCATTTTCGGCATAAATTTGTGCAATTCTTTATACAGTAAATCGAATTCCCACACTATATGATGTATATGTCGTGCCTCAGATCAATTCTTGCGTCAGATTAAAACCGGCCTAAGTTAGATTAGGGTTAGGGTAAGAATCTGGGAAGGATTTGGGCTTAATTTAAGTCAATCAATATCGATCAGTTAATGCGGGCCAAAAAGTTGACATCTGACGCAAGCATTAATCTGAGGCACAACATATATAAGGTTTAGACATAGTAATTTTTTTTTTCGCGTATAGCGTACTTGTAGCAACTTTATATCTTTAATAATACATAATTTCAAATAAAATTGATATATATTTTTTACACTTTTATTTTCTTATTTACTTTCTAAATCAAATACCATTCGCCCAATAATGGATTTCCGGATCATATACTGGATTAGAAAGCTACAATCTCTTATATTGGGGGTTTCAAATAGTGATGCGGTAGAGTCGTCCCAATGAAGTCCCAATGGATTTTTTGATATGAAAAGTTACGGCGTGGCGTAACTTTTTATTAAGCTACAAATAAGCCGTATCTCAATTTGCCGTATCTCAAAATTCATTGGGACTTCATTGGGACGATTCTACCGCATCACTAGTTTCAAAGTTAACTTATTTTGAAAATAAGTGGGAGTTTGAAAAGTCCTATTTTTGTTTTGAAATTTCGAAATCAGAAAATGAAAAAGGTGTTATCCGGAGACAAAATAAACAAACTTTTTTTAATGATGTATATTATTTCTTATATATAAATAGGCTTGTAGGATTCATGGATCGCCGCTAATTTAATTCGAAATCAGAAACCTGAACCTTAAGTCTGAAGCCCCCTATTAGGGGGTTTCAAAGTTAAAATCAGAAAATCCGATTTATAATTCAACATAGTAAAAATACTATTGAAAAAATCCTATTTATTTTCGAAATGCGTCACTTATTTGTTAACTTTGAAACCCCCTATTACTAAAATTTGGTTTACTGGTTTATTTTAAAAAATTTATTTCCATCTAAGTTATTTTGAAATCCCAAGCGTCACTTAAATGGATTCGGAATCTACTTAAATACTGTAGACTTCGAATTTACTGAATTTCAATCAATTTCAACATATACATATAGTGTTAGGACAGGGACGCGAACTACCCAATCACCACCCAAAACACACAACCAGCCCACAATATACTCAATGGGTTAGAGGCGGTATCGATTTGGCATGGTAAGGCTAAATCAAGTATATTATGAGTAATAAGAACGACTTTTATGCAAAACCGTCACTGTCTTGATTAGAGGGCGAAACAAGCCCGTATTTATAACAAATTTTACATTCGAGGGGACAAAAAGAGAAAGAAAAATTGGATTCTTTCTTCGAATCTAAGCCCGCAAACCAACGCATGCCACTTTTGGCTTTGCTTGGCTCTCTGTTTACAAACAGATGGGCTTTTCCACGGGCTTACTCCCTACCGCCACATGGACTTGGGGGAACGATTTCTCCACGATTCTTCAGGAGCTTCGATTCGGGGTTTTTGTCACGTGTTCGGATCCCGTGACGTTGAGTTTGGCGCAACGGGTTTTGGCAGTTTTGCCGCTAACAATAGCAACAAAATTTTATAACAAAAATAATAAAATTTACCTAAAAGGTTATATTAAGATAGGTAATAAGGTTATATTTATTTTCGGGCTTATTAAAGTGCACCATTGTTGAGTATCATACAGAACTGAGATAATTTTTAAAAAACTCTACGCAGATTTTAGAATTTGTCAAGAATCGGTGTCAATTTGAATTGAAGTTCTGCGCAGATTTGTATATATTTCATATCCACCGGTTTGTTTTTTTATAATAAATATATAATATTTTTAATTATTTTTATAATAATAACTTTTGACCTATTAGTCTACTTTAAATAATTATATTACTAAAATGCTCTTCATAATGAGACGATTCTAACAAGCCTAAAATTATCTGAACCCAACCACAGGGCCCTGAGATATTCACGTGTCAAATAATGACGCACCTACCAATGAGGAACGATTGGTTGACATAGTCTATACTATGTCCAACCAATCGTTCCACAGTAGGAGGTGTGTCATTATTTGACACGCGAATATCTCAAGACCCTACGATTGGATTCAGGTAACTTTGGGCTTGTTAGAATCGTCTCATTATGAAGAGCATTTTAGTAATAAAATTATTTAAAGTAGACTAATAGGTCAAAAGTCATTATTATAAAAATAATTAAAAAATCAAACCGATGAATATGTAATTTATTGAAGATCTGCGCAACCCACTTTTAGTCGGCGGATCTACGTAATTAACCCTCTTCAAACTTTTTTTCCCGCGCGTCGTAGATTATTTCCATATAAGTTTAAAGTTGAATACATATCTGCTTTCTTATTGGTTTCTCCTTTACTCGTGATACGCCACATTTCCTTATAAACTAAAACGGAAAAGATTTTCGTCAAAAAATTTTATAGTTCTTATTTTATATTATATTATTATATATTATATTATATAATACGCTATATGCGCTATATAGAGCTTATGCGCATGCCCCCAAAAATTTTTTATCGTTTTCAGGTTGTATTTATAATTTTTTTTTAATTACATATCATGTCACGTTAATTAATATACACAATGTGTAACGCCAGATACGTATTAAACTTAAACCGAGACGGGATATACTCCCAGAAAATAGCATATCTACAGTCGAATACCACTATCATCAGTTGAATTCGCGATATGTACATCAGTCGGTACTTTTCCCATCTGCACAAGGCAGGCCGACTTTGATGACAAGTTTAAGCTACTACGAAATAGCAGGATTCTATGTGGGTTTCGGTAGGAAGGCTCGGGTACGAACCTTGCTTCAGGCTTCATATGTTTACTTCTGGCAATGAAATATTGTTAGTAAATTTCGTTATATTTCTCTACTAGGCAGTTCATTAACTCCTTTTGCTTATCTAGCTTCGTGATTCTCACGCTACTTAATTTAATTCCCGATTAGGATTAATAGCTACATTCAGGATTGCTCCCGGTATATCCCTGCTAAGCCACCTTTTCGATCTGTTGACTCACATCAACTTGAACAAAAGCATTGCACACATGTGATAATTTTATTCAGATGCATATGTTTATTAACGCCAGATATTAAACTCTAATTAAAACAAACATAATATATTAGTGCAATTTATGTATAAACCAAGTCGGGATATACTCCCAGAAAATAGCATATTTACAGCCGTCATCATTTGAATTCGCGATGCGTAGCATCACTTGGCAGGCCAATTTTGACGATAAGTTTAAGCTACCATGAAATGGCAGAATTCTACGTGAATTTCAAATATCAGAATTCTGCCATTTTGGTCCGACGCATGCATTTGATTTGGCTTTTGCTTCACCCTTCCTATTTTTTTTTAGCATTACGACGTTAGCATTTCAAATTTATCAGTTTATACAATGATTCTGACTATATTATTATTTACGTGTCACTCAGTACGTATGACATATTATCATGCATAATTTATTAACCGTTATAATGCTATATGGTATCATAACTAAAGTATTTATTTATTTATTCGTTATGTTCCCCTCTTTATATATTATATATATATAATCCGACGGCGATCGGTTCCAAAGATTGTGTGACGATCGTTAGTTGGAATATGTTCTGCATTGGATTGCAGCCACATTCACGGGGTGTGTCTGAATATACTTACGAAATACATCCAATAACCATCTGCCTATGCTTTGAATTGATGGTAGTTGTACACTTCACAGTATTAATTCCGCTGTGCCTCAACGTGAAAACTATAGCCTATGACACTGGCATCTGCTAAATGTGACTAAATATGACTTGAGGTTGCAGATCTTGCTTCAAGCGGATATAGCTGTTGATTTCCTTGCAACAGCATCTTCTTCTGACAATGAAATATCGTTAGTAAATTACATCATATTTATCAATTAGGCAGTTCATTAACTCCTTTTACTTATCTGACTTCATGATCCTTTCACGCTATTTGATTGAATTTCCGATTAGGATTAATGGCTACATTCAGGCTTGACCAGATTGCTCCCATCAAATCCCTGCTTAACCATCTTTTCAATCTGTTGACTTACATCAACTTTAAGTGTAAACTTTTCATAGTGATCATTTAAATTAAAATTTATAGTTATTGTAATATTCGAGTTTTATGCTATATTAGCGTCGCTCATTTTTATAAGAATAAAAGAATTTAATATTAATTATATTACATGCCAAATAATATATATATCCGTAATGTAACATAAAAACATTCCTTTAAAATTTCAATATTCTTCAAAACAATTAAGATGCCTTCGCACGTTACATTAATTGTAGTTATATCTACAAAAGATAATTACAACTCTCTAACACAAGGTCTTGCCAAGTATCAACCGGATGAAAATGAATTTAAGATAATTCGGTGGAAATATTTTTACCCTTTCAATAAGCCTTATACTGAATTTTCAGTTGGGGACATTGTCATGTTCACAGGTAAATTCATTGTTGAAAACAATGATCAATACATTACAGTTTTTCATGCTTGTGTCATTGCGGATGGTGATCCTAAACAAGAGTTTGAAGCCAATGAAATTCCGCTCAGCATTCCTCACAGCATGTTTATCGTCCAGATCACCCGGGAGCCAAAAGAATGTGGAGACTCCACATATTTTGAAGCTGTGTGTTATCAATATAACGCATATAATAATTCCAGAAATGTTCAAATGAAATTTAGAATGTTTTTCCCCACCAATGCACCACGATTCTCTTACTTACGTGCCAACAATAGCATTAACAAACCATTTATGGTATCTGATTTTATTATGTGTGTAACCTCTAATTTTACTATAGTTGAAGTGACAGATATTGACTTCATAAACGCCAACACTACTACTAACTCGATTAAGAATGTGCAAGAAAGTACTTCATCGGTTGCTTCAAGTCATCGTTCAGATATTGACCTTATAGCTGAAGATATAGATGCTGAATCTAGTACTTCACGATCACCAAAAAGACCCCGAGTATTTACATCAAGATCTTTTAAAAATGCTACTAGTGCATCTCCTATTGTTGATGAATCTGTCTCACCCTTTCCAACTTTCATGGAAACATCAAAGCCAGGTATATTTACTTAATTTTTTTGTTATAATTAGTATAATATATATATATATATATTAAAATTTTATATCAATACATGGATCAATATTTAAACATAGATGGACCTTCAAATTCAGCAACTCCTATGAATACTACCAATACAGTTCAAAATCAGAAAGGTAAAGGTAAATTGTCTGATTTGGCTTTGAATTGTCTAGAACCGATTATTATGGATAATACCCAAGATAGAAGAACCCGTGTAGAAGATGCTCCAGATGATGATGATGATGATTTAGAATTTTTAATGGAACAAGAACAAGAACAAGAAAAAGAACAAGAAAAAAAAAAAAAGGGAACTAAGAATACTTCAAATAAAAGATCTTCAAAAAAGAAAAATTAATTATTATTTTGTTGGCATAGCATTATACTTTAATAACTTTACAACTATTATGAGTAATACGGAAAGTTATAGCTTAACATTTATTCTTGATCATACTGTTATTTTAAAGTTTATTTTTTGAAAAAAATAAAATATATAGTCTCGAGAAAATTGAAATTAATTTTCTAAAAATTAATTTTAATTTTCTCAAAACCGTTGAATTTATCATTATATACAGACTGTTGATATTAAATTTAACCTTATATCTAAAAATTATAAAGTGCTAGCAATACTCTACTTATATTTATGCTTCAATAAACCGAAATAATAGTTTTTTCTGTTTAATACTTTGAAACTTCATTAATTCTATTACTAACTATATAATTAAATACTCAATAATGCGGTTATTAATAAATATTTATGTTTATTAAAATAAATTTTTATTTAATAATAAAAATAAGCATCACATTCGTGGTTATAACCCCTTTAAATCTAGTTCTTGTATAAATGATTATTATTATATTTTAAAACGTTTTTCAAAAGTTATAAAAGGCTAAAAAATTGTTTACTTTTGCTATTATTTTTTTGCTATTATTAAGTTATAGTTTTACTTCGTATAAATAATTAAAAATAAATTATATATTAGATCTATGTTAATTACGTGCAATGTCTTTTTCAGTAACTCAAATATCTGTAGTTGATTTAGATGAAGATGATCCTTATTATGATTTATCAAATGATATTTTTTCAGGTTACCAGACTCGAATAAATATCAATGCAAACCATCCACGAGCACCTATATTAACACATACGTTTTTATCAGAAAATCAACATCAATCAACATCCAACCTAACTTCTTTTCCTCCATGGCAACCTTCACCTTCTTTAATTTCTCTTAATCACCGTTTTCAAACTGAAATTTTATATATGTTTCCTTGTGTTCCTTGTTCTCATTGCTCAATTCTTATGTTTTCTGCACAAGCAAAATGGGTTCTTCATGATATTAATGTGGAATATAAACTTTGTCAAGCTTTTCCACATTTATCACTTACTGAACATCCTAATAAAGAAGGTTATATTGCTATATGTACTTTATGTATATCTATTACTAAACGGCACGATGCTCCAATACTTACTCCAATTCCAGATGCCTTAGCAAATGTTCCAATGTTTTATCGCCGTTGGCTCTCACCTATTCATCTAAGTTGCTCTCTTGGACGTGCAGAAAATACAAATTGTTTTACATACTATCGCCATCTTACTGGTGCATTTGGTCTCTCAAAAAATATTCGAGCCTTACAAATCTATACAGGAACATTAGGTGCTATTTTAGATTCTACATCTAACAATAATTGGTTTCACCCATCCTTACTAAATGCAGCTAGCTGGTTAAAAATCAATAATCGTTTCTTTAGACAATTTGATCAAATGTTTTCTTCAATTGTTTTTGCACATTCTCCAAATGTTTTTTCAACAGCACAATTAATCAATGAAGATGAAAATATATTACTAATAATACTCCACTGCAGCATCATCCAGATATAGTAGTACCACCATATGAGTTTGACCCTGAAATTCACAATGAGGATTTTCATTATAGTAGACTACTAGCAGGTTTTATAAGAGATACTAATAATATAGAGTTACCAATTGCATATAATGATCCAAATTTAGAAGCTATTCTTTTTCCTGATCTTTTTCCTAATGGGCATGGTCATTGGGGAGAAATTTATAAAAAAACAAATAACCGTCGTATTTATGTTGATACATATGCTAAATATATTAAACTTCGTCTATTATGTCCAGATCCTCGATTCCATTTACACTGGTACTGGCCATTTTGGTCATATGTTAATTTAGAAAAATTACGAAACCATCAAAATAGACAACGTATTTTACATCAAAAAAATATTGATCAGCAACAACTTCCAACAATTGCAGATTTGATTAATCAAAGTATTTATAATAATAGACCTATAATTAACAACTACACTTCCTTCATATATAAGAACTGGGGATATATATTTTCGACAAAGAGAACATTCTATAAATGCAATGGTTCAAAGTTTTGGTTTACCCCAAATCTTCTACACTATGACTATGGCTGAAGGACTTTGGCCACATTTATCAAAAATTCTATCATGTACTGATGACCATTGCACTTTACCAACAAATCGTCCTCTATATACTTATTTTCATTATCATCAAAGACTCAATTCTATTCGAAATATGCTATGGAAAAATTCCAACCTAGCTAAATGGGGTAAATGGTTACACCATTTTGAAAGAGATGAATTTCAAAATAGTATACATACCCATGGTATAGCTTATCTTGATATGTCAATTCCTAATTTAATAGCTCATAATGTTATACGTGCAGATTTACCTGATCCCCAAACTGAACCAGTCCTTTATGAATTAGTTCGCATTCATCAAGTTCATAGGTGTTGCCCTAATAAATGTGGTGGTCCACCTCTTCCTGGTGAACAATGCAGAAAAAAGTTTCCAGCCCCACTATCTAATTATACTTATCTTAATTCTACTTCATTACAATATACCTATCGCCGCACCAAAAAAGCAGATCGATGGATTGTTCCCTATCATGCACCAACTTTATTGTTGTGGCAAGGGCATATTAATTTTCAATATGTCACTTCAAAATCTTTTGCCAAATATATGACCAAATATATTACCAAGCCGAAAACTTGTGATCTATTTAGATTAACTGAACATAATACTTATCGTTCTCATATCTTAGCTAGACGTCTTGGTGCAATGGAATTAATGATTCTCTTAATTGGCTATTCAATATGTCGCTGCACCATTGCTGTTAATTATCTACCAAGCACACCACCTAATATAAGAACAAAATGTGTAAAACCAATTCGTCTGTTAAATAATGAAAATACCAATCCATACTGGGCAGATGCTATTGACAAGTACTTTCTTAGACCTATTGATTCTAATTTTGATAATATTACATATCCACATTATCATCAGAATTACAAAATGAAACCCAATCAACCAAATTCAAATATCACCTATTGGATAGATCAGAAGGGTAAATTTATAGTTAAAAGAAAAAAACCTATTCTAGTAAGATTCCAACATCTTTCTGTAGAAGATGGTGAATTATTTTTTTATCAACAACTTCTGCTTTGCTTACCCTGTAGAAGTGAGGTTGATTTATTAGGATCATATTCAAACTATCGTGACCATTTTCGCTCAAAATTTCCTGATCAATTTACTCAAGTTATGCAAGGTATTAACCAAAATACATCAGCGAGATTTATTAGATTTTCTCATAATTACCAACAACTAATAGATAAAATAATACATAATATGCAACATAATATTGCAACCATTATACAAAATCAACTTAATACTTTAATGCATTCTCCACCCTTGATTTCTCGATATTCATTATTAGAAACACCCACAGACCAATATGCAGCATTCAATTTATTAATTTCAGCATGGAGACATATAGGTGAACATGGGCATCCATATTTTTTCTTAACTGGTTCTGCAGAAACCGGAAAATCATATTTGATAACTTTAATTATAAACTATTTTATATCACATCGTGAGAAATATTTGATAATGGCTCCAACAGGTGTAGCTGCTGAAAATATTAATGGTAAAACAATTCATTCTCAACTAAAAATACGACCATCATCTAGTAATTATATGAGTTTGGCTTTAAATAATCAAGAAAATCGCCAACTACTTCGGGAAACTAAAGTTATTATAATTGATGAGATATCTATGGTATCTGCCAGTTTATTAACATTTATTAGCAATTTCTTTGCTCGTCTGCACAATAATACTTTACCGTTTGGTGGAATCAAAGTTTTGCTAGTTGGTGGTCTGGCACAATTACCTCCTATAAGTGGTGCTCAAGTGTTTCGTTCCCTGTTTGGTCTGAATTTTTTCCCATATTCCTAACAACACCTCGCAGGCAGAATGAGGATATGATGTTTTATAGGGTATTAAATGAAATCCGGAATGGAGTTATATCAACTAACACATTGCAAGTAATTGATGATAAAATAAAAACTCCTTCATCTCGCTCCCCTATTGATACAACACACTTAGTTGGATTTCGTGCAATGGCTAATAACATTAATAAACTAGCATGTCTAACCTTACCACAAGACCCAGAAAATCCAGAACCCATCATCTCAATTGCTATTGACCATATTAATAATCAAGAGTGTGATGCTATAGATAATGACCGTAATTTCTGTCAACTTACAAATTTACCTGGGACCTTAATTTTGCAAATAGGAGCCCGTGTTATGTACCTTGATAATAACTTATTTGAGCATGGCCTTTATAATGGATCTATTGGCGTCATCACTGAATTAATTGATGAAAATACTATCAATGTTATATTTCCTACACCACTAAGAATGATTACAGCTACTGTAAAAAGAATGACTAAACGGTTTCTTTTAAATGGCTTACCAGCAAGTCGACATCAGTTCCCCCTCCAAAATGCATTTGCCCTCACAGTGCATAAAACACAAGGATTAACCATACCTAACATTTCAGTTGCTATTGATGAACAAATGTTTGCATATGGTCAGGCATATGTTGCACTTAGTCGGGCCCCATCGTGGGATTCACTAGATATTACTTCATTTGACCCAGCTTATATAAAAACTGATCCAGCAGTGATTACTGAATATAATTGATTATTTTCATTATTCAATAAGGGTTTAGGCAATTTTTTACAGTAATTTCTTTAATACATTCTTTATATAATTATACTTATACAATAACCTTACCTCAATCAATAAAAATATTCTTCATCTAAATGCATTTATCGTAATAAATTGTTTACTATATATCGAAGCTAACCATAATAGAAAATCAATAAAAAAGTATTAGAACTGTGCTATGATTATATAAATCTGAAACATAAAATACCACTATAGTACAATACCACACACTCATACCTAGCTCACTTCGAACATTTCAACCACCTAAACATCGATATAATTATATCTTTTTTTTTGAAAAAGATCATATTCAAAAAAATAGGACGTCGAAAAAAATAGGACGTCGAAAAAAATAGAACGTCGAAAAAAATAAGACGTCGAAAAAAATAGGACGTCGAAAAAATAGGACGTCGGAAAATTGAGGCGTCGGAAAATTGAGGCGTCGGAAAAAATAGGAAAGAGGCCTTTTTTTTTTTTTTTTTTTTTAAGTTATTTATTTATTTATTTTTTTCCTTAACCAATTTTTTTAAACTTATCTTTCTTTCTATTATTTTTTTAACCCACTCTCTTTTTGATGGTTTTTTTTTTTTCTTTTTTTTCTTAGAATGGTCTTCTTGAATTAGTTAAAACCTCATATAGATCCGCTTTAAAGCATTTATATTCGAAACCCATCCATATCTTACTCTTATCCAATATCCTAAATATTGCTTTCTAACCTTTCTCTTCTTATTCATATTATCACCAATTCCTCCTAAATTCCATATAAAATTATATCCACCCGACTCTCTGCATCTATCATTTGCAATAGTAAAATTTTATACATAACCTAAAGTGAATTAAAAGCTCTACTAATAGCTCTACAAAATAAACACCAAACAATTTCTCATAATCGTTAATACAATTCTTTACCTAATTTACTATAAATTACAATATAAAATTAATGAAAATTTGATAATTTACTACAATATATAATATAACATACTCTGTTCTAACGCCCTTTAAGCAACTCTAGCGCCTAGTTACTATTAAAAATTTTAAAATATTTGACAAAGAATAACTTTTGACCCATTAGTTCATTTTAGATGATTTTACCATCAAAATGAGTGAGATGATTATAACGAGCTCAAAATCATCAAAATCCAATCACTGAATCCCGAGAAAATTGCCGGGTTGTTTTCATTGGGTAAAATAGGATGGGTTAAACCCATTCTATTTTACCCGATATAAACAAAACATTGGCAATCAGTGATTAGATTTTGGTGATTTTGGGCTCTTTAGAACCGTCTCACTGAGACGGTCATTTTGATGGTAAAATCATCTAAAATGAACTAGTGGGTCAAAAGTTATTCTCTGTCAAATATTTTAAAATTTTCAATAGTAATTACCGATATGTTTATAACCATTTTTTAATACAAATAAAAATATACAGTATATATGTGTAATAAATAACTATAATATATAATATATATATATATATATATATATAATAAATAATATCAAACTACCTATACGCTAAATTTAGTATGATGTGACTTATTATTCAATCCTAATATCTAATAAACAACTATAATTAATTATAATACTAAATTTTAAAGTCCAAATATCCTTTGGACAGTTGTGGACACTGTGGATGTGAGCAAAAAAAGTCTTGGACATAGTAGACGTGATAATAACACTAACTAAATAATAAATGCTAAGATCAAATATTTTTAATAATTTTAAATATTTCATAATCATCTATTAAAAACGATCCTTCAGTTTTTCTAATTGCATTATGGTAATTTAATTTTTCACAATACCATTCTTTAAAATTTATATCTGTTTTAAGATCATGACCGCCAAAATTTTAGAGATGAAGTCTTATATATTACGTTTTCCATGTTAACATTAAAATAATCAGAAGTTTTAACAAGCTTAAACATTGCATTATTCTTGTCAAAATTTGGAGAAGTTTGATACATTGCATTTTCTATATTACTTACTCTGCTAAGAATAGATTCTTTCTGGGTTTCATTTTTTAAGGAGAAAATAAAACTATCACGTGTTGCCCACCATCCTCCACGAAAATTAGCATAATTGTCAGGTATATATCCACCAAGTATCTCATTTGTTTTCTTAACTTTTAAAACAATTACAACATTATGTAAGGATTCAGTACTAATGTCACCACCACCACATAGCTCGCGAAATGTTTCGATTGTAAACCCGTCTCTGCTGCCTCTAAGTAACAGCCTAAACTCATATGGAATTTGTGCATCATCATATAAATCAGTCGCTGAACGTCGATCAATCCAGTTAGAAATTTCTGCAACATGTTCCAATGTAATTATAGAAGAAAATGGTGCAAAAGTAGATAATTGTCTAGGAGGAAGTTGTGTTGAAATTTTTTTACGAGGAGGCAAAATTAAAGATGTTACAGCTCTATTTGGGGCTAATAATTTTGTCATGATATCATCGCACAAAGTCTTTCCAAGAATTTTTTGATAAGGTCGAATTTTATCCAAGAAATCCTCACTAGGAATTTGAAAATATCTAATAAGAGGCAGACAATGTTGAAGTGTAGCTTTCAAAGAATTGAAATTCTCATCAGTCCACTGTTCAAAATTAGTTGGTAAATTCAAAGTTTGTGCTTTTCCCCAAAGAATAACTTTATCCCAAATTTCTGATTCTTCCATTTGCAAATCATCACATTCTAAAAGGGTTATCAAGGCATTTTCCTGAAGGATAGTGAACTCTTCAGAATTAAAAATCATATTTGGATGCTTTACAAGATATCATTACAAAACTGTTGTAAAATTTTAAGATATTCATTTTGAGAGCTAAATCGATATATTTAACCGAATCCAAGAAGCATTTTCTTCAACAAGACGAGATTGAAGAGATTCAACTAATTCCGGGAGCTGGAATTCATTGAAAGTGGTAAAGAGAGATCAAATAGGACTGAAGGATCAAAACTTTCTAAGGTGATCATACCACCATAAATATATCTTTTTTAATAACGGATTTTTATTAAAATATAATATTACTTGTCATTATTATTATTTTTTTTAATAATAAAATTATATGGGCAATAATATTTGATATAACTTACTTAATAATAATATTAAATATTTTAGCAGAGATATGAGGTAATTTAATTTCAATAATGTTATTTTCCTTGGTCGCATTTACTAATTTTTGTTGAAAGTATAATGAACGTTGATATAAAATCGCTGAATGTGCTTTAAAAAGTTGGACATTTTGTCCTTTATCAACTTCAATTATTACATTATAATCATATTCACTTTCAAGAAGTTGAGTAAAGTCTTGAGAAAGTTTATCAAAAATCTTTACATTCATATTACTGTGATCGATTCTGGAGAGTGCAAATGACCACATAGATACGTATATAAATATAAATAGTTGCACAAAAACATGTCGATATCTGGTGCGGTGATTTAGCAAGATCCAAAGACTTGGCAAAAAAGCTTAACCAAGTAGAATGCTTCTTTGGAGATTGAATTCCCACATTACACGATGTATAAGGTTTAAATATAAATATCGGAAACAACTTTAATTAAAGATGCGTCATTCATAGTAATATTTTTTTCGCGTATAGCGTACAATACATACGTACGTACGTACGTGTAGCAACTTTTATAGGATCAGCAATACATAAAATTGATTTAAATTTCTTATGGTTACCATTTCTTGAAATCTGCACTTAAGACTACATAGCGAATTTCATTTCAATTTGAGGCTGACACTTTCCTATATACATAAAACATCTTACATATGTAGGCGTTCCTTTTTAGGAGTTGTGTAATACGTAAACATTAAATCAAAACTCTGTTTCTTTACCACATCGTACGACAGTGATCAATGGTACACGTATTTCTTTTTTATATTGATCATTTGAAAATACCCCATGATTTTAGTTATTGTACCGATAATCAGATACAATTGACCTTTTTGAGGAAATGCATGTATATATGTATCATACATACTGTACAGTAACATATGTAAATGTACCGGAAATTCGATGATAAATTCCGAAAATTTTATGTTATACGTACTAACTGTTTATGTTAAACCTCATTAATATATAATTTCTGTATAATTTTACAGTTGAATTTCCTCTAAAAATCACGATGAGATGTGCAGAGTGTGAAATTAATAAACTTTCTAAAGAATTTCCCTCTGATACTATTTCAAAACTATGTAAACATATTCCGACTTGGTGTTTAAAGGTTGTCTACCGACACTTTACAACATTCTTTTCCACTCACTCTTACGTATATGATAAATTATTAAGAAATGCTTTATCTTTCATCTTTTTTTTTTTTTTTAGTGTTTAATAGGCTGTTTAGAAAAACCTGATAATAAAGATGGTCCATTATGTCCTCAATGCAATGTTATGCTCACTCCAAAAGAATTAGAAGTTTTAAAAATTACTTGGGAAAAAGCTCCGTTTTTGGTTGAAATCCCACATTTAAATAACGTTAAAAATAACAAAGAAGTGGCTGAAGAAAAAGGAGAGTTTTATGTTGCATTATTGAACGGTCAAAAGTATCCATTTGGATTTGAACAAGTTAAAACCGTTAGAGCTTTGAAACAAGCATTAGTACAAAAAATTGGTGTTGAAAGTAGAAAGCAAAAATTGATATTTGAGGGCGTTGAATTAAAGGTTAATATTTAAAAATTCTAAAATTCATGAAAACAATCCTACGATATATCTAATATATACAAAAATATTTTACATATTAGGATGCCAAAGCAAAAGGCGGTGGTGAAATGAGACTTGTTGAGTATGGCGTCCGTGAGGGAAGTCATATTCAACTCATTGTCGTTCTATACTCCATTACAAAAGATGTATCAATCGCAAATCTATCGTTTAATTTACATTGGGGATTCCCGGTAACAGGACAAGATTTTCTTGATGGAACTTGTTTAATTTATGCTGGTAGAGAACTTTGGAAGACGTATGATTATGCTCATCAATTTTACCCTAGCATACCCTATATCAGGCATTCTGGTGATATTATCGATAATGCGAACCGGCGAGGTTCGTATCTAAAACAAATGGTTGCATTTATCTGCATAATTGATTATAAAAATATTCGACCCATCGTATCAATTTTTTAACAACCATTTATTTTTAACTCTTTCATTAATACTTTATATATTTAGGCAACCATATAATCACAATTAAATTAGACCAATTACCTCCAGAAATTACTAAACTTTATTTTATCCTCAGCGCATGGGAATGTCCAAATATTGGTCATTTCAGAGATCCAAGCTTTTTACTATTTGATGAAGATTCACCAGAAAAAGAGCAATTATGTGATTATGCAATTCAAACAGCTGCAACTTCGCAAGCTGTGATAATGTGTTACGTTTCAAGGTCAATAGATGATACTTGGGAAGTTATTCCTGTTGGTCGTCTATCTAATGGAAATGCTCAGGATTATACTCCTGTTGAAATTTCTATTAGAGAATTAGAAGGGAATATTGGTCAATAGGTTTAGTTTAATGTGCATAAAGCCACTTTATCTTGTTATATTTATATCTAAATTTAAATATATACAGTATATTTTTTAATGAATAAAAAGTTTGATATTGTACAATAAAGTTGATTTTATAAACCTTAAAACATAGAGGGTATTATGTCGAGATGTGGATTAAATATAAATGATACTTGAATATTATTTACCAATTCTCACTACACTGCTATAATACACCTTTTATCTTATGAATACTTTTTTTAATAATCAGTGATCGGACTGGGAAATTCTATCCGTTACAATGAATATCCACTATAACATCATATAGTATAATAATAAAATTTTTAATTATTCCAATTGCTCTAGAGAATTACTCCGTTATAGTGAGGGGTTTACTTTAAACGGAGTCCGCTATAATGAGACTATATGCTGTATAGTGTGAAAAGGTAAATTGGCGCCCGGGCGTTGCTACGGTTCCGAGGCGGTACAGCAAGATCCTTGAAATCCCAAGAATCCAGAGATCTCTAGAATCTCTTTGAAACCATAGTTTAGTGAAAATTTCCGGATGACAAAGATAATAAATATATTAGGAACGGCTAAAATCTTTTATTTAGGATTAATGAAGTATTTTTAGATAGTGTGATCTATACCTCTAGACTTATACATGGGTGCCTAAATTGCCTATCTTAATAAAAAAGTAATTACGGCATTTAGGCAGCCGAAATTAGTCTTATATAGTGCCGAAATTTTTTGAACTCTTTTCATCAAAATACACCATACAATATAGTTATTTCGAAGGGTTTCATTTAAAAAATTTGGCAATGCCGAAATGTTTGCCGAAAATGCGATTTTTCAAAAATAATTTAGACACCCATGGTTCCGGAGCATTTACACTTTACACCGATCAATGATCAGTTTTGACCTGGTCAAATGGTTATACTTTATATTAAATATATTACATGTAAATATATATAATACGTATAATTTATAATATTTATTATATTAAATCACTTAATAGACCAGATACGACCAATTTAATCAGAGATCCTTCGATCATTGACCAACAAATTTTGTCAATCAAATAACCCCTGAATAATTTGCATTAATTTGACTAATGTTAAAAATAGGGAAATTTGTCGATAAGGTGTTTATTGAAACTAAAAATTTCAAACTATTTCGATTTTTGACAAAATCTTTGATTACATCTAATCTTGAAATTTGATTGGTCAGCGAAATTTTTTAAGGTGGTAATTTTTATATCTATCGTAAATCTTGTGTATCATATAGTTAAAAACAAATTTTCATTGTTTCTAGAATTAGTATTATCGATAATTTTTTAAGGTTTGATGGCGTAAATTGACATCGAATATGTATAAATTAATATGTGTACTGTGCATAGAGTTGCATTTTATCTCCGGTAACCCGGGTAACCTGTCATTAAAATACGCAGGTCGGGATTTTCTCACCAGGGTCAAATCCTTTTTTTTCTTTTTAAGATATCGAAAAAAAAAGTTACCGTAGCATTTAAACAAGAATGAGTTGGGAAAAAGAAAGTCATGGCAAAGAAACTCCACAAATATTAGGCCCGGATGCGAATGAAAATAACGATGATGAAATTGATGATGAAATTATTGATCCACATCTTTCCATCACCTCGGTTTTTTATGTTCATTTACCACAAACTGTAGATACAAATTATCATCAACCAGCAATTCTTGGTAGCTGCGCAACTTTAGGCAAATGGAAAGTACCAAAGGTCTTACTTAATAGAAAGTCTCAGAATTCAACCCTCTGGGTATCTGAGCCTGTGCGTATTCCTACGGATGAGAATGTATTCTATAAGTATGCTATTTGTCGTCACGATAGCAAGTGGTATAAACTTAATAAAGGCAAATTGGTAATCGATAGTTTTGAAGGCTATGGTGAAAGATCAAATCGCGAAATGAAACTTCTCGAAAACCACTATGACTTATGGCAAGATAACAACTATATGCACATCAATATAAGGGCCCTTAAAACTGATTTTCAATTTGTTAATTGTATTTTTGAAAATATTAAAGATATTCAAACTTTAAAGGATAGAATTATGGAATATCAATATATTTACCGTCAGCATAAAGAGCTTACTAATTCCGCAACAAATATCAAGTTCATTCAGAATAAATTATTATCTAGCGCCTTCAAAGAACAACGGCTTTTCTTGTGCCTCCTTCTTGGATATTATATGCTTCAACCAAATAAATTCACACAAGACAATATTTATCTTCCACGAGAATTTCCGTCTAATAATTTGCTAGAAGATCTTGTAAACGTAGAATCTGATTTTAGTCCCTCTGATACTAGGCACTTTGTTGCACAAGCAATTAGAGCTTTAGTCCAGCATAATTCTAAATATGGCTTCACAACATGGTTTAAGATGTTTGCCCTCGCACCAACACTTGACGAGTCTTACGCTTTCATAGACTCGATAGAGATTTATGATTTTGGAAATCGATCTGCTAAATTTTTTGACGCATTAGAAAATAATGTAAAACCTCATATTGATGAACTATTTATGAAGAACGTATTTAATAGAGCTGTACAGGTAATACTGTAATCTAAAACGACTATTGATGTGATTATCATTTATAGACATTTAAAAATTAAATGTTATTTTTTTTATAGAAACTAATTTTATTATCCTATGACTTGGAAAGCCTATTATTCTTATGGCAAAAAATTATCGGGTTTGAGAAAACAGATAATCACTTACGAAATGCGATGAAGAAAAGAATTGATGACATAATAAAGCATGACAAACCTTCTCAACTTAAAGCGCACTTTTATATTTTCCCAAAAGAATTGCAACTTGATGTCGCGGAAATTTTCCGGGCAAAACTTTTAAAGTTACTAAAAGCAAGAAACTTTACGTGTAAATGGGACAATCCGGATATCGTCTCTTTTCAAGAGCTTCTTCAAGAGGTTAATTTAATATGGCCAATTAGGGAATACCTTGAAATACTCGAATCAATTGCAGAGTCCGATCAAATACTACTGTTGGAATCTTTCCCTGACGTTATGAAACTTGTCTTGGAATCAAAAGCCACGGGAAGAACCCTTGATCAAATCTTTGAGTCGTCAGTCAAATGGTTTGAGAGGATGATCTCTTTTCGCACACCCAGAGTCACTACTACTAATGGTCCAAAGAATAAAGGAAATATGGCCTACATTGTCCTTTATTATCTTTCTCAAGTATATCCTCTTGTTTCGCATCGTCAAAAATTTTCTCACAAATTAAAGGAACAAGCGGATAAAATAATACTTGCGTTATCCGATGATGTTATATTTCCCCTTGCATCATGTATCGATGAGTTTCATGAAGATATTGTTGATCATTTCGGTACTTTATTGAAAAAAAAAATCGAACATTTTGTTCAAGACCCTGATGGTAAACTCTTAAAAACGATAATGCGGATATGTGATAGCAATACGTATTTAAACGTGAAAAATGGGTGTGTATTGATCACTTATCTAAGTTATAGCACTTATTATTAATGTTCTTATATAATTTTTTTTTTTCCTAAACTAGTTTTTGCGAGAAAATATTATGCCTTATATTAGATCGTTTGCAACAAAATGATAAAAGAATACATAATAAAGATACCTATCAGCTTTCATTTTCACAATTTTGGACGGAAATATTTCTGGCAAGGGGTCAAACAAACGAATTACATTCTCACCCATATGTTAAAAATGTACGCGATCACATAGTTAATGTGGCAACATCAATTATTGAAAGCACGATTACGATAGGATTTCTTCTGGAATTATTTAAGTACTCTGGTGATAAAAATGAATATCTTATAAAATATTTTAATTCCGCCATAGAAAACCAACCAGAAAATATTGATCATCTTAAAATAACTAATAAAATTCTCGTCGATATACGTCAACAGTGCCAGAAATACACGTTGACCTTTACGCGTCTTAACAAATTTTATGAACGATTTTGTTCTTCTGCCTTGATAATCGATGCCAGAGAATACCATGAAGATCTACGTAAACGAGATAACATAAAAACCGTCACTCTTGGGGAATCAGATACTCGAGATTATTGGTCGATTCATTCTGCAACAATTGATGTTATGGAGGCCTCTTATCACCTTGCTGAATCGCAAACTTTTAATAATATTTTTCAGGCAATATTAAAGGCAGAAACACGAGAGTTGAATGTCGAAATTGTAACCACAGAAATAATGCAGATGGCTATTAAACAATATAATACTATATGCGAAGGATATGAAAAGTGGGAAAACATCAAATGCTCTGAAGCAGATGAATTCTGGAAACATGTCGATCCAAATAATATTCAATCTGAAATTAATTTCATGGCTCCAAATTGGACTCGCGCTCTCTCAAATAGGCAACTACAACTGTTAACTTCTTCAGTTACATACTTAATTGACATTTCATCGTATAAAGAAAAATTAAATAACCTTTTTACTGTCATAGAAAATCTGAAAATAGCACACAACCCAAATCTCTGGGTTATAACATTTTCTAATTCATTAAGTGACGAAAATTTAGCACTTGGCAATTTACAAAAAAAAATTGGAGATATACTCAAGCAGTTTAAGCAATTAAAATTATTGGAGGATTTCTGGTCAATAATTAAGGAAATGGCATGTTCAAAAGAATGCATTAATTTTCTACAAGAGCTTGTTGGTCATGATTTGAAAAATTTAATAAATGGTGCTGATGATCATTCCGACGAACGCTTAATTCAAGAAGATACTGTTTCAACATTTATTCAAGTGAAACAAATTTTAGAACCTTTACTAAGTAAAAATGAAGATACTGCTCAATTAGCGGTAGATAAGTTTATAAAAAGTTTAGTTGATATAATTAAAACAAACACATCACTTGCTTCTAAATTGAGATTGTGTAATGCACATACACAAGCGTTAAAAAATATGTACAAAAACATTTCAAATCGAGGTGAAGTGACAAAAGAAAAGATTTTCTACGCAGTAACAAAAGGTGTATATTCTTTTATGAGAATAGAAAATGATGAATACAAATGTACTGCGACATTATCATATCCATCCAACAATATGCGTGATGGAGATACAAAATCAACAAAGTATGCTTTTAGTGATCTTCAAGATTTACGTGGACGTGCTCTTTTAATTGCTAAAGCACCTGTTGATACCAAAATGTTAGATGAGAATAATATGGTTAACGAAATCACCTCTTCTCATATGACCGAATTTGTAATCCAAGTAGATATATCACAACAGATAATTCATGTATCCTCACAGCTTGTAGAACTTGGTCACTTTGGATATCGTGATTTTAAAGCATCAACACGATCTACACGAGAAATGGAAGATTTGTTACAAACTTTGACTGAACATTTAAATGAATGGAAAATGATCGTCAACAAAGCACAAGAAGAACATTATTATTTAACTTTCTTTTTAGCTAGACATATTTTAACATTTTACGATTATTTTACAATCCAAGAAGATCATGAAGAAGAAGATCATGAAAACAACAAAAATAAATGTGCAATGCTTTTACGATTAGTCAACGATAAGGCTGAATTGCCGGATATTACAGAAGAAGATCATACTATTTTCCGTGAATATGATGATTATTCTGATATTCTCAGTGCGATTGGAATAAAGTTACGTGACATATTCATTGAAATTCCAAAAAACCGTCCAATAACAGCAAATATTGAACAAGTACCGTCTGATATGGTTCATTCGGGACAACTTTTTGTTGCAACTTGTATTAATAAATTAAGAGTACCAAATATTATTATGAGTTTGTATGTCAATTTCGATAAATGCTATCCGGAATCATGGCAATTATTAATTTGTAAGTCATCCACAAGGGCAGAAGAGCTTTTTATTTTTACAAAACGATGTTTCTTTGCTGCGAAAAATGGATACAAAAAATATCTGTTTTGTATCGCAAATGTAGAATATCTAGAGTTTGATTTGCAATACCGATTAGTAACGCATATACGTTCATTATGTCAAAAAGAGAACAAATTTAATCTAGCTTTGATATGCTGTCGTGAAAAAGGCATGCATCACCATATACTTGACCAATTTTCTGAACATGTTCATGTGACTGAAGGATTAGGCGCAGAATCTATGCGTAACATCTATAAAGAATTATGTCCGAATGTAGTTGCGGTTTCCTCGGATTTATCTGGACAAGGAAAGACCGAATGGATTAAAGAGCGTAGTTTTGAGAATGACCTAATACCAAGAAGCTTTTTAGTTAGTGATGGCATGACATTTGGGGAACTTGTTCGAAGATTATCTGAAACTGAATTTCGAGAGTTTGAAAGTTTACATCTTAATATAATGTTAATAGACTATCCTTACGAAGTGAATATGTTTTTATTTGAATTATTGTCCCTTAGAATAGCAAGAAATGGAATCAATCTTGTCTGTATCCCGTCGACATTAGTGTTTATAGAAGTTGCTTCTACCATGGAACAATATTTGTTAAATTCATTACCAATTACGGGATATTTAACAAGGCAACATTTAACCTGGAATATCGATAACCTTATTATTTCCCATAGCCATAAAAGCTCAACTCAAATAGTTGCGAGATATTTGGATGCACATGATCAAAATGTCATTAATGGAATGGATATTGATTTCACAGAAGATGATGAACCAATACCTCAAGAACGTTGTCAACAACTTTTTCAGAATTATTTCTTTAGAAATCGTACTCAAGATGTTGCATCGTACCGTTTTCTTGAAATATTTATTAACGTTCTTGCTGATCAATTTTTACGGATGTCATCAAGTGCATTTTTCCGTGTAGAATTATTAACGCAGATGGTAAATGACAATAATATCAGAAAAACTTTGCTGGAAACTTTAATGGGCGTTTCTTCTGATTTTGCGACACGTTCTGTGAACTCTAAAGCAGATCAATTAAAGAATTTATCTGAAGCAGCTGATGCAGTAAATGCAAATTTAGGAACTATTAAGCATTGGGAAGATTCAAACCATTTATTGGTAGTTTTCTTATCGCAGACACCTGATTCTATTTGTGCTCTTTACCGTGACAGAAATAAAGTTCCGCAAAATGTTAAAAACTTGTTAAGCAGTCAACAAGTTAGGACACCCGGAATAGCCAATGCATTCACACTGGATAATTATGATGAGATGTCCCCGGATAGAATTTTGGAAAAGTTGGAATGCTTGGCGCGTAATACACTTGAAGAACGCAAATATCCACCATATGCGCTTTCTACGGATAATCTTTTAAAAATGGCATTGATCCTTTTGCGAGCCCGTGCTAATGTTCCTGTTGTTTGTTGCGGAGAAGCCGGATGTGGAAAGGTAATTAAATGCTCTCATTTATATATTATGTCATATTTATTTTCAATGTTATAATACTTAATATATATATATTTGTTGCATGCATCTTAATTATAATATATACAGACAAGCTTAATCCAATTTTTATCAATAGTCGTAAATGTTGAGTTTGAAGCTCTAAATTTACACGCTGGTATAAAAGAACAAGACATCCTGGATTTCATGGCAAAAGCTGAAGAAACAGCACAAGAACGTCAAATATGGTTATTTTTTGATGAGATAAATACATGTAACCATATAGGATTACTGGCTAATCTCATAGCACATAGGAAAATTTTTGGTCGAAAAATCCATCACAATATCAGACTCTTCTCAGCTTGCAATCCATATAGATTACGGCTAAAAAGTGATACACAAGCAGGTCTTTTGGCAAAAAGATATGAAGAACATAGCAATTTAGTTTACCAGGTTCATCCACTTCCTGACCAAATTCTGGATTACGTTTGGGATTACGGTGTATTAAAACCATCAGATGAAAAAATCTATATTAGCATTATGGTTGAGAAAAACTTAAAAGGAGAAGGATTAGCATCTAAATTATTCACTGAATTATTATTTGCTTCGCAAGAATTTATTCGACATAATGAAGGAGCACATAGCGTTAGTTTACGAGATGTAAAACGTGCCATTACTCTTGTTAAGTACTTTTACAAGAGCCTAATTGATCGTCCACGTGCTAATCGTTTCACAGGTCAATATCCTCCTCTAATTGCAATGGTAGGAAAAGAGGTTGGAATTGTTATTCGATCTTATATTCTAGCTTTAAGTCTTAGTTATCAAGTTAGAATATTTGATCAAACATTACGTAAACAATATCGCGAAATAATATGCAAAGTATTTAATGAATTCAAGACAGCAAAAATAACACGAGCCATGACAGAAGATCTTTTTATAAGGATTATTAAGGAAGAACAGAAAGATTACATCGCTAGAATGACAAAGCCACCGCAAACTGCAGAGAACGATGCATTACTTGAAAATGTGCTTGTAATGATTATTTGCATATTTACCAAAATTCCCGTATTTATTATCGGTGCACCTGGGTAAGATCTATTATAATATTATGATTCATGGCAGCTTATGCAGCAAAAAAATTTATATAGCCTAAATGTAAATTTTTTAAATAGGGCATCAAAATCATTAGCAATTCGTTTAGTTAGCCAGAATCTTCGCGGTGCTGATTCAGATGATCCATATTTTAAAACATTGCCACAAGTACGAGCATGTGAAAAAATTATGGTTGATACTTCAACATTTTACTAATTATTTTCATTATTATTTCTTCAGATTTATATTATTCCATATCAAGGTTCATCTTCATCCACATCTGACGGCATTGTTAAGGTCTTTAAAAAGGCACAAAATTATCAAACGACCAGTTCCGAGGAATATCCTTTAAATACCGTGGTTCTGCTTGATGAAGGTATTTAAATTTAAATTTAATTAAATTTATAGCGTTTATGATTATTTATTAATTTCCATATATATATATATATTAGTTGGATTGGCCGAAACAAGTCCACATAATCCATTGAAAGTTTTACATTCTTTGCTCGAACCAAGTTATCCAGCCGAGTATCCAAATGTTTCAGTTGTAGGTATAAGTAATTGGAGATTAGATAATTCCAAATCAAGTAGAGCGTTGTTGGTGCAGAGGTTAGTAATTAGACATATATCTATTTCATTCTATTTCATTTAACGTTCATTCTGATTTTAGAGACATTTATTTTATGTGATTAGGCCTAAATTTGAAGAACAAGATTTAATTGATACAGCAGATAGATTGTTCGAAAATAATAAAACATGGGCGAAACGTTTTAAATTTGCTAATAGTGCTAAGAATACAAAGCTTGAGGCATTAGCTAATTCATATTTAGAGTATGAGAAAAAACAACCTATTGATAATTTTCATGGACTCCGAGATTATTACTCTTTGGTAAAAAGTCTTGGCGGTAGTGAGGTATTATTACGCACATTAAAAAATTTGGTTTTCTTTGCTCTCTACATTTTATTTTTAATTTTTAACCCTTTAAATGAAACAGCTTACACCGAATTCCATAAAAATGGCACTAGCAAGAAATTTTGGGGGAACAAATCAAATGGATAGGCTGTATGATGAACATTTTGTCAATGTTTTAAAAGCATTTGATGCAATCGAACATTACCACATTCAATTTTCTGCCGAAGACCTTATCAAAGCAAATCTTAAAGATAAAAATGCTAGACATCTAATGTTAATTGGTAAAAGTGATTCTATTGTCAACATTTTGACATATAAATTGAGATATTGGAATAAAGAGCTTTCGGAAAAGAAAGATATTGATGCTATCGATGAAAAAACATCTTGGGATTTAGAACCTGTGGTAATTTATGGAAGTCAGTTTCCAGATGATTGCGATGATGATTATCAGTATGGAGTATTGAGTCGTATTATGGTAAGATATGCAAAGCTTCGATCGTTATTAAGCGTGTATGTATTATTTTATTTCATATTTATTATTTATTTTAGATGTGTGTTGAAGCCGGAAGACCACTTATCTTGACCGATCTTGAAATTATATATGGTATTTCGAAATTATACTTGTAATGTAATAATATATTTCTAAAATTTATAATATTGAGTCACGTTTATTTGCTGTTTATGTTTATAGGAAGTCTTTATGATTTGTGGAATCAGAATTATATAACTGTTGGCAAGGAAGGTGATATAAAATATTATACGCGAGTAGCTTTGGGAGCTTATTCTAATCCTATGGTCTGTGTGCATGAAAACTTCCGTTGCATTTTGGTACTGGATGAAAAAAATGTAAATCTGGCAGATCCACCGCTTCTGAATCGGTTTGAAAAACAAAAGATGTCTATTAATGATGCTTTAGACGATTATATGGAAAGATTAGTAGCAAAGCTTGCCGACTGGTCACAGCAAATATCAAATTACATAAAGAAGGGTGATACATCCAAATCCGAATTTAATGAGCATGATATTTTTATCGGGTTTGATAAAGAAGAAACCTTACAAAGTTTGGTTATTTATAATTGCAATAACCAAGAATTTAATGACGATGAAGCCATTCTGAATAAGTGTAAAGAATTGTTAATAGGCATTGCAACGTCAGATGGCATTGTACGATCAAAAGAATCTATGCTGTCACTTACAAATCATGAAGAAGCACAAAACTGGTATAATTTCTATTTTGAACGTTATGAGCGACAATATGAAAACTTTTCCAAATATATTCAATCATTATTGATTGATAATGGAGAGACTATGAACAAGCAAGGATTCAAAGTAATAATTAACACATTTTCAAATATCAATACCGACATGTCATTCTGCTTGAATGACTTGGACAATAATTTGAAATATCAAGTTGACAAAATTTCAACATTCAAATCCGAAGCTCAGTTACAGAATCGAATTAAACATTTCTGGTTAGAATCGGATGACGAAATGTTAATTCTTCAATGTGACCTCTCAATTGTTAATTCGGGATGTATTAAACTTGCGAAGTTCATTATTGAACAATATAGAAATGAATATTTGTTTGCAGACAAATTTCCAGAAAATCCTAAGCCATTAAAGCATGTTTGCATTATTCTTCATGTGCAACGAAAGAATGATACTAAACCATCATTTAATTTTATGTGTGGTTGGGATTTAGTTACTATTGAAACCTTGGAGCCTCAAAAACATCACCTCATGGATTATCTAAATAGAAATATTGCTCAGATACTTGATAATACATATACATTTGAGGAAATTATTGAACAAGAATTATTTTGGTGCTTACTTTGTATGCGATTTCAATCGTCTAACTCTGTTGATTATATAAAGTTCGTTAATTTATTTAAATTTAGTTGTTGACTTAAATTTATGATATTGTTACAATGTTTTAATATTTTGTGATTTTTTTTTCAATAGGTTTCTTTTCCAACAAATCCCACAACATGAAACACTAACCGAATGCTTAAAGACCAGATCACTTGAATGGCTTCAGGAAAACATATCTGATAATTGGCAATTCCAAGTAGCAACAAACAAAACTAATTTACATTTATATTCATCATTTTCCGTTGCTCTTCAAACATACATTCGTGACTTAGTTAGAAAACCAATTGCTAAACTTCTCTGTGCATTGGAGAGGTTATCAGGTCTTTCAACTCTTTTTAATTATAACCTTCTGAAGCGTGATGATCCAGAGCCCACAGTTGACTTACTCGAATTTTGGAAAAAAATATTTATGGATTCTAAAATAGTTAATATAGAATTCATGCTAGATCCACGACCAGATAGATATTTTATACAAAACAAAAAACAAGATTTAGTTTTTCCTTTCTCAATATATATTATGGGCCAAATTGATAAATTCAGAAGATTGTATGAAGAAGACTTAGCAGCATTAGAAGAAAAGGAAGAAAACCTGAATGATGATGGAGAGTTAAAAGCCACTATTATTGATGACTGTATAGAAAGATTTTCTGCAAACATCATGTCAGCAGTCCCAATATTGAAGTTACCACATTTGATTGAATCAGCTGAATTATATTTCAAGGATTTTTTGTCAGTTTTTTCACTAACGTATAATGACAATGAATTCTTATCTTGGATCATCAGTCATAATATGGGACAACAAATACCGAACCCTTTTAGACTCCATGTATATTGGTGGAGTAATTCTGAAATTGCGTTAACCGAATTGCAATTGTCAATATTATGTCCTACAGTAATTGAAGAGATGCTTAAGTTGGAATTTGAACAAAGCAAGGGGTTAGACTTTGAACGTTATTTATTAGAACAAATTTCAAAAATGATGATAAAAAAACTTTGTGCAATTGATATAAATGATATAAATGATATAAACCGTATAAAAAATCAACTTTTGATATGGCAACGTGACACCACATATATTTTATCTTTGTCAAGCAAATTACCTAATTCTTATGATAACCCAGCTACTCATAAGTTGCGAATATACAATGATCTATCAAAATCTCTTGAACTGCAAAAACTTATTGAGATTCGAAATCTTGAAAAAGATGAAGACAATGAAAACGATGAAGAAGTACTTTCAGAACAATTTGTAGATATAGTATTTGAAAAATTGTATGAGTTACAACAAACAGAAGATAATTTATCATTACAACAATCTTTCACAAATAGGTGTTTAAACATGCTACCACCTGAATCACCTATTCGTCTTCGTCTTTATGAAAAAATTTTTACGCAAGAACCTTTACCATCATTAAGTTTTCCAACAATTCATCGTATCTTCATCACAGAATATGAAAATGATAATGAAATTTTCTTTAATCTAATTAATGATCCTCCTGAAGTTTTAGAAGGATCTGAACGGTTACAAGTCATAGAAGACACTTTGAATAAAAAACATCCTGATTCGGAAATTTCTGCTTTGTGTTGTGATGTAATTCAAACACAATTTTTCTCATCACAAGACTTTTCATTACAAGATTTTCAAGAATTATCACAACATTTTATGAAAGCAACAGAAGTTTTAGTTACTGCGGACGTCAAAATCTTACAGAGAATATCCGCAATTGCGCTTCTGAAAGTATTTATAACCAATTTATGGAAATTTGCATCAATTCAAAAATCTTTAACAGATCCTATAGAATTTGAATTTGGAAATGAAGAAGACTTTAGCATTAATGATTTGAATCAACGTTTAGAAATACAAAAACCTTTAATTCATTCTCTAATGTACTATCTGCTCAAATCTTTAAAATTAAAGGAATTTTCTATCGACGATATCAAAAGATTTTGTGATGTGCAACAACAAATAATGCCATGGCTTGGTGGGCTTGTATGGGATGATAATGATAGTCGGTTAGGTTATGATCCATATTGGTGTGTCGAACAGTATAAGCAAGTCGAATTTGCGGCTGCAAAAATGTCAAGTCGTGGTGATTGTACACATTTAGACGCATTATTAGAAGATATTTTAGATCCAACAGCAGAAAATTCAACCAATCTTCGAATTTCATTCGCAGGAATAATCATAATGAGACTTTATATAATTCGAGCAACACGTGAATGGAATAATTCCGAAACTTTGTTAGCACAAAAAATTGAAACTTATCTCGATACGCCTCAGATTCCTGAATTCTATAAAAAACCATTGTTGAGATTTTTATCAAACAAGCATGCACTTTGTAAACTTGTTGTGGATGATGATAATAAGAAAATATATGTATCTTCAGTGATCGCACATATAGTTGCATTGCATATTTCTATTCCTCAAAATTCTTCACCATTGGCTACATATATGCAAGCATTACAAACGTGTCAAGATGATTTTATTTTGGCATGCCCTTCCGATGAGCTAACTGTTATAATGAACGCAATAATGGATAGTAACCCTAATGATAAACGATTAACAAGGTAAAGTCATTTAACGTAGAATGCACCGAGATTAAGCAAAATTTAGTAACTTAACTATCAAAAAATTCTTTAATAGATATCGATGTAAATGTGGAGAAATGTACTTTGTTGGAGATTGCGGAAATGTGACAAACCCTGGCCAATGTCTAACGTGTAGAGGAGAAGTCGGAGGCAGAGTTTATAATGAAGCAGCTGAAGGAAATATGCGTTTAGACGGTGAGCCATTAACACAGCAAAATGATGCAAATGACCAACGAGGTTATATTATAGAAGAGAAAAAAAACGAAAATTTCTACAGCATTAGATCAATGTCTCCAGCATCTTATAGAATTATTCACCTTTTTGTACATGCTATTATTGGGATACAGGCCCCATCCGAAGTTGTTAGCAAATTTATCAAACACAACGTAAAAGAAAATAATACAAATCTTAATAAAGCAGAAGATATAGCGCCGTTCTGTGCAATACACATCAATAATGATTGGGATGCACTGAAAAAAATACTAGCTTGTGGAGATGAACAATTGGCTTTAGTTTTACACGCGATTCTGTCTGAAATGACACAACAGCCATTACAACAACCAGCAAGGCTAAACACACCAATTGAAAGAGAAACTTGGGAAAATCAGTTTAGTCAGAAATATATTTTACCATTAACAAAAAATGTAATGGGAACTGCAACAGATTTTAGTATGCTGTTGGAAACAAATATAACAAATGCTCAACAAAAAGCTAAAGCAGAAGTTAATGAAATAATGAAGTTAAACGATCAATACCGGGGAAATTACTTGCCTAGACTATGGCGTCTTGTTGGAGTTGCAAATATCAATAATTTCCGAGCATATTATTTGAACAACGCAGAACATATAGAAGCTTACCCATTTCTTGCTATTTTCTTAAAGCATGAAAACAATTTACATTTAATAAATAATCTCCTCCCGATTGTGAAATTTGTTCAAATGTTATCTACATGCCTTTCATATCGTATTGAAAGACAGGAGGCAAGAAAACTGACTTTCAGACAATTCATTCTTAACGAAAGCGATAGTGATGGTACTGGTGAAACGCAAAGAACATTAGATAAGGCATTCGTTAATTTTGCAGATTCATGGAACCAACTGATCCCATATGTCAATAGATATCAATGTCAACCTTTACCACAACCAATGCCAAAAATGCAAGACAATATCCCTATTGTTTTTGGATTATTAGAACCACTAAATGAGAGTTTGTTTTTATGTGCGGCTATAGATTTCTTGGTCCAACTCCAAAATGCATTCCTTAATGAAGTTATTGAAATCCCTTCAAACACGTGTCAGTCCTTAAAATTCCTAGAAAAAAAAGACATTAAAAATAATGATGAAAGACATATTCAAACTGCATATCATTTAAAATCAACTACTCTCAATAACGCAAGACCAGAATATATTATTTCCTATGATAGAAATCCCGAGATATTCAGATTTAGTCAATTTGATTTGAGAGTTGGTCATGGTCGTGAAATCCAATATGATTTACGTAAGATTGAAGCTGAATTAGCACTTGATTTAGTTCACGAAAAATCATTGATTAAACCCGATGAACAAGGATTGTACTTAGAACCTTTCGTGTACCACAAGGAAATGTTTTCTGGATCTATGACAATTCTAAGTGAAATTAAAAATTTAATACCCCAAGAACATATTCCTGAAGATAAGAAAGCGATGTTTGTAGGAACATATTCTAATTATGAAAACTATGAAGGAAGATCTTCATTTGCATTAGAAAATCCAAAAGAATTACTTTCAGCCTTAGAAATAATACTTTGTTTTCTAAAACGTACATCTGGAAGCGACCGTGACACATTGATCACGGAATACATTGAAAGTTGGATGAAGTTGGCCGTATTGAAAGAAAACAATAATAGTTATAAACTTTTGTTAAAAGCTGGTTTACAACTTAAGCATATTGTAGCATTATATGAATTAGTAGAAGAACATGTAGCTGATGTGGTTGCCACTTGTATTCCTCAAAAATATCAAGAAAAACTTGGTTATTCAATGCATCATGATATTGATGATGCTGTTGATTTCGAATCATTAGAACAGGGTGAGCAAAACCAAAATGCCAAATCAAGTAAAAATTTACGTATTCCGGCTAAAGCGTTTGCTACGGCATTGAAAAGGTTTATAATAAGATATTTGACTACTAGTGAGAACATTATTGAAACAGATGAATTGATGTATTATTTGGTAGAGGATGAAAGTCTAGAATGTTGGCCTGATTGGGTGGATAAGACTGTCGTTAAAAATAAATTTCCTCCATCTTTACGGATTTCACACACATTTGAAACTTATCAATATATAAAAGAAGCTATTGAGGTAACTTTTAATATTTATAATATGTAATAATTAAAACTTGAACATTAATTTTATTTATTTAGTTATAATTGAATTATTTCTTCTTTCTTTATCTTAGAAATCACAGATGGAGAAACGAGAACATATCGAAGAAAATAAGCCTAATTATAAAAAACCTCCAACTCGTAAACAAAAGGGGAAAAATACTAAATATAATAGGGGTTAATAATATTTATTTTATTGTAGTATACATTAAATATGTTTGGCATTTGTTCATATAGATCTGCCTATTTTATCTATTTGATGGAAGATTTAAAATCAAAGGTCATAATTTGAATTTTTTTTACTAGGTCGAAGTTTTAAATATTTTTGGAATTTTGATTTTTTGTAAATCAAAAAAATTTTTGATTAATTAAAAAGATCTTGAAAATATTAAATTATTGAAATAATAAAATATCTTTTAAATGAAAATTTCAAAATACTTCAATAAAGTTTTTTGAAGTTTCTAAAAAATTCTATTAAATTCTTTTTGATATATTTCATCTATGAAATCTACGCTTTTTGAAATTATTAAACATATATACAGTATTTGGCATCTTTTCTTACTGTAAGAAGATTTATCATAAGAAAATTTTGTTCACATCTGTGGGCCGCTTTAGACATTTTATTCAAATTACTTTTATAATTAACAGAAAGGATATTTTAAAGCAACTCTTTATAGGAATTACAATAATTCCAATACAAAATTAACTCACTACATTTTGATTATCGGAATGGCGAATGAGTTTATAGCAAAATTACTTGCAGCAACTCATAAGGGAAATTACAATAATAATTCTAATATAATTCAACCTTAACTACGAACTATTGTTACTGGAATACCAAGTAAATTTTACTTTAGCTTATGTTAGAAGTTGGAGTCACGATAATTCCGCTTAACACATACTTCGATTGTCCGAAGCAAATTCTGTAATGGAATTTTTTAAAGTAACGAACGATTTTTGAAAAATTCCCGTGATGATTTGAGTCCAAAATTAAACGTAATATGTATATGTATATTGTTGATACGTATTTCAAAGATAATAAATCAGCGTGTTGTATTAGTATAAAAAATTACATATGTTATATAAATGGACATAAAAGGGGGAAATCAACAAATTTTCAAAATTTTTTTTTTTTACACAAATCAATTCAAATAAGATTAGATCATTTTTTACTTAAAAAACAAAAGCTGTTGTATTAATAAAATTTTGTAATATAGCTCTTTAAAGTTTGTATTTTCTTATAATTTATTATAAAATTTATTCCCCTTTTCTATGTGTTTTTTACACCATATGTGAAACCCACCTTAGGTTAAAAATCACCATAGATGATTTTCACCTATGGTGAAAATTATCATAGATGCGTTTTGGTAAGAGTCAACATAATAGATATTATACTAGAAAATTAGTTTAACATATAAGTAAAATCAATCAATCCTCTACCAAGTCCATTTCCGTTATATAAATCTAATAGTTTATAAGGTTTTAAAATCTCAATACTGATCCAAAATTAATTCATCGTGTATATTAGTTTTAAAAATTTAACAGTACATATAGTATACAAATAAAACTGTTTATTTAAAATATATAGTTAAAAATACTATAACTTACAAAGATAGATTTTAAATAAAAACAAGTTAGTTATATAATTTTAAATTTTAAAATTGTATACTCTATTTAAAAGATACAATTAAATTATTACAAATTATAAAAAAGATAAAATAAATTATTATTTGTATATGTCGTACGTCGGAATGAAATTGTTGTATATTTAGAATCCACCTAGGTTGATTCCGAATAAATATAGATTGTAATAGAATTCTAAAGTGTGCCTAAGCCGTTAAAGAATTCCAATTCAACTTACAACAAAATTATGTGTATTCCAAATTATTACACAGTGCATTGCAAATTAATTAAATTTAAAAGCATGACACGAAGCTTTTACATCTATGATTAGTGGGATAGCAACTATTCCTATAGGGTGTATTTATTTTTACTTTTTGTCTCATGCATTTTGCAAATGTATTTTTGCCAAATAACGATTTATCGCATCCCCGATTGTTGTATTTGCTGAATCTTGTAATACCTTAATACAAAACAAAAGTCTTCATGTAAGATTTTATGTTGCCTATTTGCCGACTCATTACTAAAATATTTGGAAAGCATTCTTTGAATACATTACGGGGTTAAGATGGATAATCTTAATATTCTGTCATCAGGTGGAGAGAGTTGCAAATAATGAAAAGTGAATAAAAAAAAAAGAAATAATAGATTTGTATTTTATCTTGACAATATATCATGATTTATTACAGTATTTATCGAATATATAGTATCAAATATAGAATCGATTTAAGTTGCTTTTAAATTTCGTATCAACTTGGACTGCATTTGGAATCACATTCCAACCTAAGTGGATTCTAAATCTATAATAATTTCGTTCCGACGTACGACATATATATACACACCAAAGCTTTTAAGCATCGGTAACATCAAGCTTAATTTGAGCAGAATCAGATTGAGCCAAATCTAAATAAACAAAATAATATTAATTTTAAATAAATCAATAAACATAATATTAGTTAAAAATAAAAATACCTTCAATCGCCCTTGAAATTAATTTCGTGCTAATAATTTTGCTAGTGTACATTTCATCAGGATGTTTTGGTACCGGCAATGATTTAGTAACTTTATCAGCATCGAAGAATTTCTTTTTAATTTCATTACCACCTAAACCAGCTATCTTATCAAGCCATTTATCTATTTCACTCCAAACATTTATAGCACTAGGTCGATTTTGTGGATCAGAATTCATGCATTTCTCAGCCAATTCAATATAGCATTTAGGAGTTCCAGGTGCAAACTCTGGCCGCAGCCCTTTGCAAATTTTGACTGCAAGTTTTAGGTCGAATTTATAACCATCAAAAGGTCTTTGACCAGTCGACATTTCTGCCATAATAATACCAAACCCATAAATATCTGCTGCTTGTGTAAACTGCTGTTTTCCTGCCAAGACTTCAGGAGGAACATAGGGCATGACACCATAAATTTCGCTTTCTGAAGCGTTATCATCTTTCTTTTTAGACAATCCTAGATCTGCGATATAAGATTCTGCATTTTCATCAGTGCGTTTGTCTTGCAAAATGTTACCACTATGAAAATCAGCATGAATGTATTAACATCTGTGAACGCGAAATAGCTTATTTGAAACATTTTTAAGAATCTGCAATTTAGCTTGCCAAGTAAGTTTAACAAAATTTTTTCTTAAATATTTATGAAGGCTCCCATCATTAGCATACTGAAATACCATCAAATATTCGTTTGTTTCTGTGTTCTGAGTTGTTCCATATATTGTGAGCATCCCCTCATATTTAGTTGTACATTCCATAATATTTTTAAACTTAAGGTTTAAGCAATGAATTAGTTCAATAAACTATTAAACTATTATTAATAAAATTAATAAATTATCAAAGCAACAAATTAACTTACTTCTTTTAAAAAATCAAAATTGTTTTCCTTCGAACTGGTCAACGTCTTGAGTGCAACGACACTGGATGATTCACGTGATCTTTTGTAGGAATAGTTGTAATCATCAACTTTAATTTGTTCAAATTTTCGTATTCCATCCAACCAGGTTGCTGAATATACGGAACCAAATCCTCCTTTGCCGATTTCTTTAACATCAGATAATCTATTAAATGGAATCCATTCAATCGCATTTTCATAACTCCAGGCTCTAAGTTGGAACGTTTTCATGCAATCATCAATATCTTTATTTCCAATTGTCCACCTTGCTGTTATTTCAGGATCGCATGATATACACCATACTGGTTGCGTGTTATCTTCATTACAATGAGCACAGTTTCCATATTTAGAAATTCTATATAATATATAATGTTTTATTTCGCATCTGCAATTTTAAACTTCATATTGAATGTAAATAATTTTATGCTTACCGACTAAATTAATGCGAATGAAATGAATTTGAACGTAATGTGGTAAATAAGTATTTATGAACTTGTTTTGTGAACTTGTTTTGCTGTTTTTAATTCCATTGATTAATAAATGTTCTTTATACTCACTAACTAAATTAATGCGAATGAAATGAATTTAAACGTAATGAATGGTAAATAAATGTTGGTAGATCTTATTTATATCAATAAATAAATTGTTCTTTATACTCACGGGCTAAAAAATAAATAAATAAATAAATAAATATGAACTTAAATCGCCGATTTAGATTGATGAATTCATTTTATACTTCCTAATAATTAAAAATTGTATAAGAAATCTCAATTTCAAATAAAGAAATTACAAAATATTATAATAAAAAAATCAAAAATTAACTTACTTCTTACGCCATTCCGAAAATTTATCAATATTCTTCTTCACGCCAATTCCATAACAGTAACAAACGGCAGTTTTCCATATTCCATTGGAATTACCCGCCTCAGCAGATTTCAGGTAATATGAAAATGCTTTTTGCTTATCGATTTCGACGCCAATTCCTAAATTATAACAATGACCAACTTGATACATTCCGCTGGAATTTTTCATTTCTGCCGATTTTTGATAATGCTTGAATGCTTTTTTTTCATCCTTTTCTACTCCAATTCCATATTCGTAACAATAACCGAGCCAGAAAATTCCGTTTGGATCGTTCGTATCTGCTGATTTTTGATAATCTGAGAAATTCAGTTTGCTAAAACCATCGATCAATTCGGTCAAATTTTCGTTGGACATTTTTGATCAAAAAAAAAATGGATACAATTTACCGATACTGTTTATTTACAG